AAATTTCAGTTGCACGATCAAATCATGCCATATATTTTAAAAAAAGTTGCGGAAGGATAATATTCGAGTGACAACTTTTCTTTTAAAAATGCATTAAAACAATGTTTTTTGGCTTATTACTCAGTACAAATGGTAATGGTGGTAATAAAGAATAAACCACAACATCAGTTTTAATAAATTCAGATAAAATGAGGGCTAAAGCCTGAAACCATACTATACAGGCTAGGTTTTAGGAAAAAGGAATCTCCTTATCGTGCAACTGAAAATTGCTGATGGCTTATGGAATGCTGAAGAATAAATATCAACTATTCTCGTGTTGATTTTTAATTATTCCAAAATTGGCCAAATAGTCGCACGATAAGGAGATGCCTTTTTTTCTTAATTTATGAACCTTATCCCAGTACAATATCACATTTGTACTATTTTTTTCACAGGTTAGTTTTTGTCTGATTTTGCCGAAAATTGGTGTTGTGGCCCATTCTTTATCATTCTTTTTTCTTAAATACATTTTTAAAGGAAGAAATGGAAGTTTTGTTGAATATAGTTAGTTGATTTCTCGTCATTATTTTATAATTGCTTTGGTTTTACAGAACAGAAAATGTCTCTTTATGTCTGTTCAGAAAATTTCTGGTTAGTTTTAAATGTATTATATCACAACACAATATTCAAGTGATCTCTTTTAATAAAGAATTAATATTTATTTGAACACATCTATGATTACACTATAATGAATAAATTATTTAAATTATTTTTGACACGTATGATTCTTTTTGAAATAAAATAACTTCCTACTGACCTTAATGCAATGATAAATTAATGGGAAGGCTTGGTTCATCAGTGGTGAACCATTGCCAACGATTTCGCGATTTTACTCTACCATACCGTTGTAATATTGCATTGTATTGTTTTGCTTTTAGACCGATACTAAAGCTGAACTCTAGGAAAAGGTATTTCAAATTAACTATGGGGACATAGTTAATGGGGGTCTATGGGGGTCATATTGAAGACAGTATAAATATATATTATTATAAATATATAATACTAGACGAATATCCCGGCTTCGCCCGAGAATTCCCCCGAGTGCAATTTCCTTCATACTGAAAGTACATCTATAATAAATAGTAGAAGTGTCATAGAATAGCAATACAGAAGTAACACATAAACCACAGGCAAAAAGTGTGTGTTATTGTAAAAATTGTATTATATTAGTGTTTAGGTATTTGATTTAATTATTTTTTGCAATTCATTTAGTTGTTTCAAAATCAATATAGTTTAAATAGATGGCAGCTTTTCCACCCAACTCCCGAGGTACCCGCCCAGCGCATTAACCCTTGAAATTGCCTGAGTTGAGTGAGTGACTGCGATGGATCTTAACTGCGATGCCCAGCTTCTCATTAAGAATAAGAAAAAATAGGTTTATAAAAAAATCAATCCAAAATACAGCATGTAAATATTTTTCTGTAAAAAATAAAAGAGAACAAGGAAATTAGGCAAACATATGTGTTTGCTAATGTGACTGCGACTGCATTTTAAACGATTAAAAAAAAGAGATAAAAAACAACAAAGGCCAGAACAAAAATTAATTTTAAAAAAATACGAAAGCCATTATTTACATACAGTAACGCTAATTTTGTAAAGTTTTTAAAAATTGCATTGTGTGCACTTACTGTAATTTATTAATATAAATTTATCTCTCAATACGCAATGCTTTAGTAAAAAAAAAGTAGCACTCTTATAAAAAGATATCTCAAAAAAAGTACGCAAGCAACTTGAAAAAAAAAAAATGCAGAACGCTCATTGGTCGCTCAATTGGCCTGGTGTTGTTACTTCGCCTCGTATTTACTCCGCGTAAAAAAAGTTCCTTAAATGAAAAAAATAAATAGCCAAAAATACTAATCAAAATGTAGCCGAAAATTTTCCTCTGGTTTATAAAAAGCGACATGCAAAATTTGGTACCAATTGGTTTAGTAGGTTTTGAGTTTATCGCGAAACAGACATTGACTTTTATATATAAGAAGATTGCAATAAAGACCAATACATTAAGTTTAATAGATTCTGCAGGATGTATATTTCAAGGCGAAAGTGTTGACTGTACATATTTCAAGCTACTATTTCTAATTGCTATATGTAAAATTTGACATCGAACGTTTAATTTTCATGATTCCTAATGTTCAATTGTATTAATTGTATATAATTTAAGATATACACGTAATTATCCTAATTGTGGATATGGGGTGTCTCTCCCAACTGTTAAATAAATAAATAAATATATAAGAAGATGTTTCGAGCAATTTCTCTTCCGCAAACATCAAGTAGAGTTTTTTTATTAGAAAAATTATGATACATTAGCGTGCTATCAGTTATGAGAAATTGACACTATTTAAGACGCAGATGATTCATTTTAAAGTTAAACAATTTTCTACTGTCCTTACTGCAATAACAAATTAACCGCTGGGAGGTTTCACCACTGATGAGCCAGGCCCTCCCATTAATTTATCATTACAATAAGAGAAGTAGAAAATTAGTAAATTTAAAAAAATACACTATTTCTTTTATTTCAACACACAAAACGCGATATCCCGACTAGGGATATTTGCGTTGATTTACATTTTTAAACCGAAGCAGTTATAAACCTATTATAAACACCTTCTGGAGACTTAGCAACCCACTGAAGACGCTGAGAACTATTTCAGAAAAAAAAAATATAGCAATAGAACTCTATAATTTCTAAAGATCAATTGTAAATAGATTCATACACAAAAGAGGTAGTAAGGAAAGTTTTAGAACAGATATGTAAATAAATCCCTTTTCAAACAAAGACTCGCGTGCACAAGGGGAAAGAGAGAAGAATTGCTGTATTGTTTTGTCGTTGTGTGGCGAATCCATACAGGGCAATGGGCCCTAATTTGATCCAGGTTAGAAAGATAATCAGAAATATATTTACAAAAAAGGTTAAATCTGTGATAATTATCTCTCTAGTATTTACAAATTCATATAGATCTACAACATTGTTTACTGTTTGTTGTCTAGTGCTATAGAAAAGTGGGTATTCCAACAGTAGATGTCTCGAGTCCTGGATTTCCTTGCCACAGTGACAGCTAGAGTCCTCAATTGCTCCAATTGTTGCTAAAAATCCCCTTTAAAATCCCTTTTAAATATTATATACATATTTAGCCACCATAATTATTGTTTGGTGTGGATTTTATTCCCATATTAGATATCGCTTCTAGCTTTTTTTCCTGATTGAGATTCATCCGTTATATTTGTAAGAAGTTTTATTTATTCAATTTGAAAAAAAGCTCAATATTTGGAATAGGTTTAGCACATCGGTTTACATATTCGCTAATTGCTCTGTCGCATTCACGATGGACTGATGTTCTCAATACATTTTTTTCCAATAGATAATTTATAGGCATGTGTTGGTTATCTTGTGTAACTTTGTTTTGTACACTGGATTCAATTCTACATGGTGATAATCTTTTAAAGATCGTGACATATCAGGAGAACGTGGTGTCCAGGGCAGTAGCCGAACATTTTTTTTTTGCATGTAGGAAGTTTTACACAATACCGTCAACATGCGGTCATGCATTATCCTGATGAAACGTAGCGTTTCCCATGCCACGAATAAATTTTACCGCCAAGGGCCTTAACACATCAGAATTATGAATATTTGAAACTATTATAGACGCGTATGATTCTTTTGAAAATTAAACAATTTCTATTGCACTTACTGCGATGGAAAAATTATGTTTAATGTTTAATTTTCAAAAGAATCATACGTGTCTATAATAGTTTTGAATATTCATAACAGATGGCGCGCTGATGCATCATAACATCAGAATTAACACATTAAACTGGCGAAACCGCTGGTAGGTTCATCACTGATGAGCCAGGCCCTCCCATTAATTTTTTCAATTGCAGTAAGGGCAGTAGAAATAGTTCAATTTTAAAAATAATCTTACGCGTCTATAATAGTTTTGAATTTTCACATCAGAATGTAACGAGGACTGTTCAAAGTGCCGGAAAGGCGAACAAGAGATGACTGAGACCTATATCCAATGGCAGCCCATACCATCACTCCAGATTATGGGTCAGTATGACGATATAGATGCATGCTGACAATGTGCCTTCTTCACGATGGCGCCAAACACGATGCGGCCATCATGGTGCTGCAGACACAACCTAAATTAGTTTGTAAACATGTCAGGCCATTTCTGCCTCCAGGTTCGTCGTTAATCATACCATTGAAGGTGCTCCAGTCTATGATGTAGCGTCAAGAATAGCCGGAGCCATGTTAGTCGAGATGACAGGTCAATGTTGCTGCAAACGTCACCGTACTGTTCGTGTAGACAAGTTTTGACCGGCAAACGAAATGATTTCTTGACTCAGAACTCTTGACGTCGATGCACGATCCTTTAAGACCACTCGGATAACATGTCGGTCATCTCGGCTGTTAGTGATAGCGCTCCGCAGAGATCCAGTATGTCGTTCTGTATGACCGTCCTGAACCTATCGATTCTATATTCTGCTAACAGTCATGGGAACTCGACCGACCTTGGCAGCAATACTGCGGTATGATAAACCGCAATTTCGGTAGGTTACAATTCTATCTCTACCAAACTCAGAAAGGTGTTGGCAAGCATTTTTCTTTCTTACACGAGGCATCACGACAGTCTTTCACAATAAAGCAACGTTTCAAATGCGCATTTTTTATGAAAAATCTGTTGTACAATCTATTTTTTAACACATTGTAGATATCACCACTGGCATCTTTTTGCATAAATACGATGAAAATCTAATCAATTGCATATCACATCATCATCTTTCTATCGTGTAATTTTCACGTCTGTGTCGTGTCGTCTTCTTGGTGCAGCAATTTTAAATGCCAGTAGTGTAAATTAATACTATTAAGATATACAAGTATCAGAGTAATCAATCAATTCTGTCACCGTTTGCTTTTGTGAATGGAATAAATACCCAAATATGGCCATTTTTTATAACCATCGGTGGTTCAGTGGTAGAATGCTCGCCTGCCACGCGGGCGGGCCGATTCCCGGCCGATGCATTTTTTTTTTTCAATTTTTTAAACTCATTTATATTATTATCCCTATATATATAAAAGTTAGCGTATGTATGTATGTTTGTCAACTATACACGTCCACAATACGTAACTAATCTGACTGATATTTTAACAGTATATAAAGTAGAATCTGGAAAAACTCTTAGTGAAAATTTCAGGTCTCTATCCCGAATTTCCGTCATGTTATTTGCAAATTTGCTCTTTCGCTCGCGCCTCTAGCGGTGAAAATGGGGGGTAATACCAGCTGACCTAATGTACATGTAAAGTTTGGAGCGGGACGTTACACAAGAGTGACATCCACGGCTCCAATTTATAATTGTAACGAATAGTATTTGAATAAAAAAATTTAATCGGGTAAAACCCGGGCGTTGCCCGGGTCATTCGGCTAGTTGTTTCTATTTATCAACAATTATATTTTTCTTTCTCTTCAATTTCTATAAGGGTATAGAAATCTACGTGAAATTTTGAATTATTAGATTTATATGCTTATTTTTATATAAAATAACATCTTTCTCAACACTTCTTTTGTTTTAATATATTTATTTTATCTCCAAGAGAGAGAGGGTGAAAATGTATTAATAAAGGTTTTGCATACTTATCTTTCAATAAATATGCAAATATATCGATATTTCTAACACTAAATCTCTTGTATATCACAAATTCAAAGGAAGTTATTGGGAGAACTACCAGCGGTGAATGTGTTTTTGTCAAATTAATCTTCAAACTCTTATTTGTCTGTTTCAATTTTAGGGTAGATAATTTCTATATATAAGCTTATGTAGGTTTTCATTTTCGAATTCTATTTCCAACTCGCCAGACTTCACGCGGGATCTTTCAAAGCAGTTGACTCAGGATGTCAATTATCCTTTTCATCAAATCTGACCGACGTTGTATTCTCACCATGACGGCGATTCACCTACCAATAGCAACAGAAGGAAAAGTTGCTCACATGAACATTAATAAAATTGGCAATAAATCTCTCCTCATAGAGGCTAGCACGCCTCTCCCCACTGTGGCAAATGATGAAAATTTAATCACAGAGCTCTGGACGGGGAAAGGGACTATCCCGTCCAAACAGAGAACACGTGCCAGCACGTGGGAACCTCTCCGATCAGATGGGAACGCTCTTTGTCCCCGCCACCGCCCCGTGAGTCAACCCCCGCTGGAGCAGAATTACCCCGACCTGATCCTCTAATGTCCCGGCCAGCTCGACACATTGATTAGCTGCTTGGATGTAACTTGATTACCTTTACTTCAATTATTTGGTAACTCATCAGCTGACCGTAAAAGAAAGAACTGCTCTGTACTTGCTAATTTTTGCCGGCCTATGGACCGTAAAGTCTGGGAGGCCATTTGCTCCTAGGATGTACTTGCTGCTTTTTGCCGGCTTATTGACCTAAAGGTCTGAGTGACCATATTTGCTCCTAGGATGTACTTGCTATTTAATTTTGCTGTGACTGAAGGCCACCGGGAAAGAAATCCTTTCAGACACTTTGTCTGGGAGGTGATTTTTCCAAGTACCTAATCCGAAACCAGTTTGGATACCGTTTCTTGGCTAATGAGCAGGATAGCAGCGAAGGCTATACTTTGTCTGCAGGCTTATGGACCGAAATGTCTGGGTGGCCATTTTATTCAAGGATGTATTTGGTACTTTCTGGCCTATGGACCGAAAAGTCTGGGTGGCCATATTTGCTTCTAGGATGTATTTGGTACTTGCCGGCCTATGGACCGAAAAGTCTGGGTGGCCATATTTGCTTCTAGGATGTATTTGGTACTTGCCGGCCTATGGACCGAAAAGTTTGGGTGGCCATATTTGCTTCTAGGATGTATTTGGTACTTGCCGGCCTATGGACCGAAAAGTCTGGGAAGCCATTTTATTCTAGGATGTATTTGGTACTTTGTAGATAGTTTGCTCTATTTTGCTGTAACTGAAGGCCATCGGGATAGAAATCCTTTAAGAGGCTTTGTCTGGGCGGTGGTTTTTCCGAGTATCTAATCCGAACACCAGTTTGGATACCGTTTCTTAGCTAATGAGCAGGATAGCAGCGAAGGGCATGTTTTGCATGACGGCTTATGGACCGAAAGGTCTGGGAGGCCATTTGCTTCTAGGATGTATTTGGTACTACCCCAAGGTGTCCTGATCCACATGTTGATTTAGCGACTGCTTACTTATAAAGTTATTATGATGAAACCATCAGGCTTCAAAGGATAAAAGTTTCTTGTTTGAAAAAAAATTCTAATTTAGATCTCTAGCTTTCGGGCATAAAAGCCCTTTTACAGGAGAAAATACAATGCAATCATACTTATAAAGTAAGCATATCACATGTGTATCACATCATTACTCTTCACAATTCATCCTTTCATACTTCATCCCTAAGGATAGGAATAGTCGTTATTTCTCCTTTAAAATAATTAAAATTACGATTTTTCGTTCTGGAAAAAGAAGCATTTGCGGTCAAACTTATTAAACGTCGTTCTATAATCATAGCCTTATTATATTGTATTATAAATATCACATGTGTACAGATGTAGAGGCCATGCGACCTTTGCACTTACATGTTTGGGGTTTAATGCACTCACTGGTGGAGTTGAGCTAGCGCAAGAATCGCGCACGCCGCTGGAGATAGGGGTAAGGAGGGTAACAATGAAACTATTATAATAAAACAGCTTCAACACAGGTTTCGAACCCAGGTAATGGCTGCCGACCCCACCAGATAACACCAGTTCTTCTATAAAATACCTGAATGACAATCTGTGACCTACACGGTATGATACTTGTATCGCTGTAAGTGAACTAAAATGTAGACGCCTTTTAAATATTTTTGTGTTCGTATGTACCGCCCTTACTGAAACCATATTTAAAACCAAACTCCTTCACAAACTATAGATTCTTTTGTTCTTCAAATTAAAGATTTACTGGCCGAAGTATATTTAATTTGAAGAACTATGGATGCCGGCCAGGCAGCCTCTATCTTTACGATATATATTTTTGATTTACATTATTGATCATGATAATATTCAGAGCATTGAGGAAGGTATTCGGTGATGTCTATTTCTTTTTGTTGTTTCATATTGTCACTGAATAATTATTTTAAATATTCTGTGGTATATCATCATTAATATTTGCATAGTCATCACCCCTTACCATTCTTGTATATTATTACTTGTAAATACATTTTTAGAAATAGTTTGCATTTTATAAATAAATTATTTTTACTTAAACTTTTGTTATACTCGTTATCACTACCGTGACAACTGGTGGAGAAGCTGGAATATTCCCTCGACGCCCAAGCTGTTAGAAGAAGCAGAAGACTACAAGGACTAGAACCTGAAGAAAACATCGCTAGGGTCAAGCAAGAGACACAGACAAAAATGGGTCAGTACCACTTTCAACCTTTTAGAAACCCTTCTATTTTTACTGGAGAACGCAACCAGAATCCAGAAAAATGGTTGAAAGAATTCCATCGCGTCGCTCGCTACAACTGCTGGGATGATTCAATGTGCCTCGCAAATGTTTATTTTTTCCTCCAAGGAACAGCGCACAGATGGTACGAAAATGTTGAAGAGAAAACTAATTCATGGGATATTTTTGTGAAAATGTTTTCTCAGAATTTCGGACATCATGTCACCCAAAAAGATCAGCTCGCAGAGAACCTCAAAACTCGAGCTCAGGGGAAGGAGGAGACCAGTGATTCCTACATTCAAGATGTTCTCCATCTGCAGAGAAGTGAATCCGGCTATGATGGAAAATGAAATAGTCGCACACTTGACGAAAGGGATATCGGAGGAGATATATCAGTCAATAATCATTTTAGACATCGCAACTATCGATGAGTTCATCAAATGGTGCCGTAAAATCGAGGCTTCAAATAAAAAACGTGTAAATAAACGTGTAGTATTCGACAGACTACCGAATGTTGCCGCCATCGATTCAGCAGACTCTGAATCAATGGAAGACTTAATCCGACGCATAGTGCGTGAAGAAGTTCATTGCGCACTAAATCCCGAGTCAACTACCCCTGAACCATCTTCTCTGAAAGAAATTATCCGAGAAGAGATTGAAAAAAACGTAGCTTCAATTTCGAAGCCTATTCAAAGGCCTCCGCCACGACAGTCGTACCCCAACCAAACACGTACATTCAACCAGGTTCCACGACGTCAGTACCCTACCCAAACGCCCATATATAACCAGACGCCACCACAACGAAGAACGGATGAATGGAGGACGCATGACAACATCCCAATATGTTTTAATTGCGGCCGCCCAGGCCATGTTAAGCGATATTGTAGAGAACGACGACAATGGACGCAGAGACCCGAAGGACATGCACCAAGCGCCCAAGAACCTCAAATGGGTAACCACCAAGCCATAAGAAGCCAAATCTACCGCAGACAATTGCCGTATCCAAACAGAGGAAGATCCCCAAGACGCCAGTCCATTTCCCCAGGCCGCCATACAAGCCAATCCCCACGCCGCTACAATCTAGAAAAAAAACTAAGCGTCGCGTCTTCTTTCGAGGGGGAAGCCGCGGGTGTGAAAAACCCTCCATCGTCGACAGCCGCTAAATTACAACAAAATTATGTCGAAATCATCATTGATAACATTGCATTTTCTGCTCTTGTCGATTCAGGTTCCTCTTTTTCAGTTATCTCTGATGGATTAAGACGACAATTAAAAAAGACCATGTTCAAGGATAGCGGAATGACTCTGAAAGTTGCTGATGGCAAGAATGTTACATCGATCGGCCGATGCACAATCAGCTTGAGCATCAATGGATTGGAACAGCCGCTTGAGTTTATCGTCCTCCCTAATAGTAACCCAAGTATTATCCTCGGATGGGATTTCCTAGAGGCATCAAATGCCGTGATTGATTGCGGACGCGCCGAAATCAGATTGGAAGAGGCCAAAGATGTACTAAATTCACCAGCTTCCATGGGAAAGGTTGTGGCTAGCAGAAGCGTCGTAATCCCAGCCGAATCTACCA